TAGAGGATATGAATGTTGTAGCTTATTCAATCTCTGAGGTTTAACCATAGTCCATTCCCCCAAATCTTCTTCTGTAGCCACAAAATCATCCAAAGGAGGCCACCCACTTGGTTTGAGATCCAAAATAGGTGCTCCTGACATGAGCTCTGAGTCGCCTAATAGATTAGATGACTGTGTGTTAGTAATCAAGGTTTAATATTTATCCTTTTTGCTGACAAAGGTTGACCAACCATCCCTGATCTCGTCTTGTGATTTAGATGATGATGCCCAAACATCTAGATCATCTGTCATGAGTTTATAAAGCATTGGAATATTTGGATTTTTATGCCTTGACATATCTGGGTATGCATATACCGTCGTTATCTCATTATCAACAATTAACTATACTTGCACAGCTCCTTCAGGAAGAGGAACGGTAAGTTCTTTACTTTTGGTTGACGATGTTTCTTTTGCAGAGATAAAAGAATTCAACGGTTGTGATGGTGTTTTAGGATGTATTAGCGGTGATGATTGTGTTCCTTTGTTTGAAATTGGTATAGGGTTAAAGGACCCAAAAGTGACCATTGTCACATTTGCAGCTACCATTTCTTTGCTAGAATCGAGTTTAATTTTTTTCTTATTCAATAAACAAAGAATCTCTTCCTTTAAGATAAAACATCTTTCAAGGGGATGACTAATAATCCGATGATATTTACAATACTTCGGATTATCAACCCTTCACGATTCTTCTGACAGCTTGGGTGTTGGAAGCTCGATAAGTTTCAACTCGAGTAGTTGATCAAAAATATCTGACTCTTCATCATCAGTGAAGGAATATTTCTTCTCTTCAAGTTTTTTCAAACTTGGTCTTGTCTTCTTTTGAGTCTGATCTTGATTAAAATTGACTTGGAAGTCTGTCTTTGATTTTTTATCAAAAATCTTCACCAGTGTAGTGGAGATTGCCAAAGACTCTTTTGATTTGGAGGCTTTCACATTTTTCTTTACGTCTCTCTTTTCACGAGGGTCACTGAGAAAGTAATTTCCGTGCTTGAAAATTTGAATTTCTAAGTCATGGACTCGTGTTGCAAATTTTTCAAACGTATGAGGCATATTTCCTTAGAGACTGTAGAGTAGTCCCAATGCATTCCTTGGACACACATATTAATCGAATAGGCTTCACTAATGCGTTTCTTACAATTGAGAACAAGACTCCTCCAGTGTTCAATGTAATCAATGATAGCTTCGTCTTTTTTTTGCTTTGTTCCTACAAGTTCAGGAAGGCTTACCATACGTCGAGTACTGTAGAAACGAGTGAGAAACTCTCGTTCAAGTTGGTCCCAACCATCAACGGTCCCAACTGTTAGATTAGTGTACTAGTCAAACGCAGCCCCTCTGAGGGAACGCACAAATTGTTTCACCATCAGGTCGCCATAGGTACCGGCATGATTGCATGTTTCAATGAAATGAGCAACATGCTATTTTGGGTTGTTTTTCCCATCAAACTGTTGAAACTTTGGGGAATTTCGTGAAATGAATTAACACAAAATAAGGTCAAGTTACAATAGTCAATTTGATTGACTTTAAGTAAAAAAAATGTAGTGTTAACTCTCTTTGGCGTGCTTCTCATGTGCACTGTCCTCTGATTCTCGATGAATTTGATGAATTTGGTAAAGATGAGGGCCGGATTGACGTATTTCTCACTCTTCAATTGGTGGCTTTGTTGAAAACGAGAGCTGGATCAATGTATTTCCCGCTCTTCAACTTGATGATGCTTGTGATGAATCTCCTCACCGTTCTTCGTTTGGAATGACTTGAAGATGATTTTGATTTCTTGAAGAAGGACCTTGACAGTGTGTTCTTCTTCTTGGAGATGAACTTGCAAGGCTTTAAGGCTTTAGTGAACTTCGAGCAGAGATTCGTCGATCTTCCTTTCTCCTTAGCTTATTCTCCCTTTTCTTTCCCCTTTTTGGCCTACTCCAGACCTCGATTTATAGTGGTAGGAGTAGTTATCTACATAAAGGTATTTTACCTGAATACCCTTGTGTGGACTTTCGATAATGGGCTACCCATAAATTTGTAGGCTTTAGTTAATTTATGGAGTTTAAGTCCAACTTTTTAAATATTTGTTTAATTTGGACTTATGGAATTTAAGTCCATTTAATTTAGCAAGTCTTGTTAATTATATTTTGGCTTCTATTATTTGGGCCGTAGAATTTAGGTCCAACTCAAGGTTATTTAATTACATTGACACTTATATCATTTGGGCTTATGAAATTTAGTTTCAATCCAATTTCATTTATCTAATTGATTTGAGTCCAATTATAGACATTAATTTGTTAATTAAATTTTTTAGTTTCTACACTATTTTTTCCTCATTACAATAAAATTCCATGAACACACTTCATACAATTCCCCCATACCCTACTCTCAATAATTTGTTTAACCCCAAATATAACAAAATTATCCAATAAAACACTTCTGTTGATAACAATGCGTCTATTAGAGAAATAGAGAGTGAACCTGTTGCTTTTTTCGAGAGATGGAAACAAGTTCGGATCAAAGATATGCCTCACCCCTTGCTCATCAATATCTACTCCAGGCACACGCCTTTGCGATCCTTGGGCACTTGATTCAACCCTTTCAGAAACCATCCTCTTGGGAGCCATTGAAGGTGGAAGGAGATTCTTTGATGAATCTCCTTAAAAAGGTGTTTGAATGGTATCTTAGGAGAGAATGATTTGAGTGATTTAGGCAAAATTTGGGGTGAAAAAATGAAGGTTTTGAAGAAAACTAAGAAGAGGTGAAGAGTTTCATTTTTTCGAGGGTTTAGGAGAGTTGCAGGCCTTTGGAGGAAGAATACGTGTTTTTATAACTTGGGAGGCACGTCCGGATGGTGTGGTTGCGTCCGGATGCACTCACTAAAGTTCGTAGAATTTGAACAGTGCGTCTGGACAGATCCAACTTTTTGGAATTTTGATCCTTTACATGGGTCTAAACCAAGTCTCTAGAATGACGAGTTTTTGGTCAAAAATTGAGTCATTGGACTCCAATGGATCAACATTCGAAATATTTTTTTTTTCAATAATGCTATTGGGACATAGTTGAAGGATATAATTTGGGGACATAATGAGTTGTCACCAATGATTTGATAGTGAAATGTATTTAATGATGGGTCACATTGTAACATTAATGAATTTATTATCATATCATTGGTGACAACTCATTATGTCCTTCAATTATGTCCATAAATTATGTCCCAATAGCATTGCTCTTTTTTTTTTGGGGAAACCTAAAAGGTTTAAGGTATTTAACTTACTTACAAAACAATAAAAATAAATTCCAACAAATATAATAAATTTAATAAAACAAAACAAAATTGTTGCAACACACAAAATATATACTACACCCCTAGCATAAATCTCACATTGTCCTCAATGTAAAAATAAAGCTTGAAATGATCAAAATAATTAATAAAGATTTAAGGAGTAGAAATACTTGGTGCCGTAACAATTGTTAAAATGCCTAAAAAAAACTTTTTAAACAAAAATTAATTAGTAAAATAAAACAACCTACTATACAACACAACATTGCATGCCGTCTAATTAGTGTATTGTGGATCCACTAGCTCTATGGATTCCATAACCTTTGACCATTAACCTTAAATAAATTGCCGTTCTTAGGGTTTTAAATCTCTATAGTCCCATGCGAAAACACTTGTCTGACAATAAATGGGCTTGACCACCTAGACCTCAACTTACGAGGAAAAAGGTGGAGGCGATAAATATAAAACAACACTTTTTGCAAAGGCTCAAGTGTTTTCCGTATTATGTTGTTGTCATGGAAGGTTTTTATTCTTTCTTTTGCAATCTTGGTAAAAGAATTTTATTCTTTGTTTTTGTCGTGTAATGTTTAGTCTATAAAGGTTTTTGGTGTTTGTTCTTTAGTTTTCACTTCCTGTAAAAACAATTTTTGGCTATTGTTGCAAGAAAAAATATTTGTGCTTTAGGACAATTACTGTAGATTTGAGAAATCAAATAAAATTTTTTTGGTGTTTGTTGCAATAAATTTTGTGACTTAGAAAAGAAGTTTGATTATTGTGATTCGAATGTTGGGTCAGTCTCATTATGTGTCACTTTTGCTTTTGCTAATGCTCATTTTCTATAATTATTGAGTTTTTTTCGTTACATAGTGCCTTAAGGCACAGACATTTACTAGTATATTGATACAAGATTTGATCTACAACAAGAAGATTAGATTGCTTATCTGTTGGAGAAGAAGTGGGCCTGGAGTACATCTATGTAGGTTCGTTAACAGTCCGCTTCATGTTTTTCAAAAGATTGTAATCATCTCAATTTAGTCCTTCAACAATGTATACAATTGTAATCATCCCCTTCCATGTTGTCTCCGTTAAAACAAATAGAAAATCAGCCAAAATTGTTTCAAGTTATCCTACATAATTTTTATTTCTCTGGCTTTTCCCTCTGCTACTACTCAAACCATTGTGAAATGCTCAATGACAGTTGTGCTTCATTTAATGATTCTCATTGTCGAAATTCATATTAACTTTCCTCCCTCTTAGAAAAAGTTAGAAATGATCACAAAAAAAGAAACCAAGTAATCTATTTGTGACAAAGGTCTTTACTACTCTAATTTGATCAACATCTGAGTGGTTGAACATATATAAGGTCCAATATGAGAAATTGAATAAAAATATTTGAATAAACGAGTGTAGTACATGTCTTCCTAATAAAAACATAATGGTCATTATTTTTTATTCTCCAACTAGTTGTGTTGTTTGACTATAAATTATCATAATTGCCTCCCCTTGAAAACATTCGACTGTTTGTTGTTGCATTATGAAGCAATATATGAGCTGCAAAACAACGTTAGTTTCAATCAGAAGATGTTCACAATAAGAGATAAGAAAAAGCAGTATTTATTTACCAAACTTACATGACACGTTTAGATAAATCCGTTTCCTTATTAATAAGGCTTAGGAGGAGGAGGAGAAGTGTAGTAGTATGGAGGAGGAGGATATGGTGAGGGCGGTGGTGGTGATTTGTAGTAATATGGTGGTGGAGGTGATGGGGAAGGTGGTGGTGGGGACATGTAATAGTAAGGTGGTGGGGGTGACGGAGAAGGAGGTGGTGGTGATTTGTAGTAATATGGAGGGGGCGGGGATGGAGATGGTGGAGGTGGTGATTTATAGTAGTAAGGAGGAGGAGGTGAGGGTGATGGTGGTGGAGGAGACTTGTAGTAGTATGGCGGTGGAGGGGATGGAGACGGTGGTGGAGGAGATTTGTAATAGTACAGTGGTGGAGGAGATGGTGATGGTGGTGGTGGAGACTTGTAGATATAAGGAGGTGGTGGTGAATTATAGTAATAGGGTGGTGGAGGAGAAGGAGAAGGTGGTGGTGGTGATTTGTACATGTAAGGAGGAGGAGGTGATGGAGATGGAGGAGGTGGGGACTTGTACATGTAAGGAGGTGGGGGTGATGGCGAAGGTGGGGGTGGTGACTTATAATAGTAAGGAGGCGGAGGAGAGGAAGATGGCGGTGGTGGTGATTTATAATAATAGGGAGGTGGGGGAGAAGGTGATGGGGGAGGAGGGGACTTGTAATAGTATGGAGGTGGTGGTGATGGAGATGGTGGTGGTGGTGGTGGTGACGTGTAATAATAGGGCGGAGGAGGTGATGGTGATGGTGGTGGAGGAGATTTGTAATAGTACGGTGGTGGAGGAGATGGTGATGGTGGTGGTGGAGATTTGTAGATGTAAGGAGGTGGTGGTGAAGGAGATGGAGGTGGTGGTGACTTATAGTAATAGGGTGGTGGAGGAAAGGGAGATGGCGGTGGTGGTGATTTGTACATGTAAGGAGGAGGTGGCGATGGAGATGGAGGAGGTGGTGATTTGTACATGTAAGGAGGCGGGGGTGATGGGGAAGGTGGGGGTGGTGACTTATAATAGTAAGGAGGAGGAGGAGAGGAAGATGGCGATGGTGGTGATTTATAATAATAGGGAGGTGGGGGAGAAGGTGATGGGGGAGGAGGGGACTTGTAATAGTATGGAGGTGGTGGTGATGGAGATGGTGGTGGTGGTGGTGGTGACGTGTAATAATAGGGCGGAGGAGGTGATGGTGATGGTGGTGGAGGAGATTTGTAATAGTACGGTGGTGGAGGAGATGGTGATGGTGGTGGTGGAGATTTGTAGATGTAAGGAGGTGGTGGTGAAGGAGATGGAGGTGGTGGTGACTTATAGTAATAGGGTGGTGGAGGAAAGGGAGATGGCGGTGGTGGTGATTTGTACATGTAAGGAGGAGGTGGCGATGGAGATGGAGGAGGTGGTGATTTGTACATGTAAGGAGGCGGGGGTGATGGGGAAGGTGGGGGTGGTGACTTATAATAGTAAGGAGGAGGAGGAGAGGAAGATGGCGATGGTGGTGATTTATAATAATAGGGAGGTGGGGGAGAAGGTGATGGGGGAGGAGGGGACTTGTAATAGTATGGAGGTGGTGGTGATGGAGATGGTGGTGGTGGTGACTTGTAGTAATATGGGGGAGGGGATGGTGATGGAGGAGGAGGCGAGTTGTAGTAGTATGGTGGTGGAGGTGAGGGTGACCACTGTGGTGGTGACTTGTAATAGTAAGGAGGTGGGGATGGTGGAGATGCATAATAGTATGGCTCATGGTCGGCTGCTACATTTGTGGCTATGAAACAAATTGCAAAAGCATATAGCACTCGAGGCCAAGAAATGGCCATTCTTGGCAATTCTCTTAGGACTACTAAGCTTTTATGCAATAGAAAACTAGTTGTGGATGATTGTACAAAGGGGAGGCTGGCTCTTTATATAGTGATCCTTTCAATCCCTAAAACATTTGTTTAATAGTTTGGGAAGCTTCCAACCTTTTAGCAACTCTCTTAGTTTAAATAGAAAATCAATCATTTTCTGTTTAACAACTGGACAATGATGTTCCCCTAACATTTTGTGTAGTCTAAGAAATAGTCAACATGCAGTATGCTAAAACACAAAGGGAGGTGTCATGGGTACACTTGAAACTTGGACAATTTCTCATTTACACGCTTCAATTACGGCTCAAGTTCAATTTGGTTCATAAAATTAAAATCTGAACACAAAACTTCTTAAGTTTTAATTCAAATATTCCGACTATTGAAAGGGTACTTATTCAAATATGTACTTATGATTACAACCCTTTGCTTATTAACCATTATCATTCTTGGCTAATCTGATATGAAGGAAAGAACAAAACAAATGGAAGATTGATAGCTACCGAGACCAAGAAGATTTGGAATCAAGACATATTCCAATGTTAACAAGCATACTCCTCTATACAAGTCACGTGTTTGTCACGGGGCTATTTTTGTTGTATCAAACGAACAACTTTAGATAGGAGGTCTGAATTGTAACTCAGTTAAAGTTTAATGGCATTAATTGTGTCAGACTTAAATTTTAACAACTAAATTAATTAGAACTTGACATATTTGAAACTTTCCAATGCATTGGCGTTGAAACCAAGAGCCACCCCACATTTTTCTGCAATATGACACATTTCCGGACGGCATTTTGGTTAAATAAAGAGTAGAGTGGTTGAAGACTTATCAACCATGCGATTGAAAAATGCGCCGAACTTGTCAATGCAGTGGCGGGCTTAGACTTCGTCAGGACTCACTGCGGAATAGGTACTAAAATAACCGAATCAAATCAAACATGCTCAACTGGTATGTACTGTTTGTTTTGTAGCCAGTAATAATGTTTTTTTTTCTTTTCTCATCTTGATCATCAAATTGCTCTATTCTATTGGGTAAACCATGCAACATGTTAGAGAGAAGGGAAATATTATCATATTGATTTGATACTAACTTTTGGGGTTTAATTACATTTGTTTTTGAATAAAGTTATAATGTTTTAGGGTGTTTGATATCGATTCTAAAATTTTAAAATTGATTTTAAAACATTGAAATCGATCCTAATCGCCTTAAACAATTGCGACTTAAGTTTTTAACTTCTTGAAATTAGTGTTTTGGAGGTAAAATAATGAAGAAATATTTTTTGATATTGTGCCTTGACAAATGAGCGGCAAATGTCAACAATATATATATCTAATGGTATTGGAAAGAGAAAAACAGTTTTATTAGGTGGGAAAGATAACATTAGTTTTATATTGTTCTAGATTCTCCCTTTTTTTTTTATTTGGTTTTTCTTTTTCAAAACGTATAGAAGGAGCTCTAAAGCGTGTCTACAATACACTAATCCCGGTTGTATGAATTAAAATAAACACTAAAATTTATGCAAGGCGGGCCCAATACAGGAGAAAATGAAGCAGTCGCTTTAGATCCCACAAATAAAAAGGGCGGCCCTAAAATTTAAAAAGTCAGCAAATATAACCCAAGTCAATTTTAACTCATTAAGAAAGCTCATATGAAGGCCTAAACCAACCAAAAAACTCTAGATTAATTTTAGGCCCAAAAATTTAGTTCATTAATCTCACACAATAACATTTTATAAGGAAAAAAAAAATTTTGTACTGAATTTAGTAATCTTATCTGGTGACATAATGAATCATAACTATGGAATTAATAGTGGGTCCCAATTAATAATAGAGTCCACTATCTATCTAATAACAAAAAATAATAAAATCGTCAAATAAAGTCACTAAATAAAGTCCATATAATATTATATTTTTTAATAATAATTTAAAAAACCTAATCAAACATATATTCTATGAGAAATCTCTAATTCATAGAAAAATATTTTTATAAGAGCGTCAATGACGAGATAACATAATTTGTCAAATAATATTTGAATTTGAAAGTTTTGAAATTTTTTATTTTATTTAAAAATAAGTCAATTAGTTATACCATCAATAACAAAAAATATGTTAGAAAAATTTCAATACAAATATTAAACAATTAATATGCATCCGGAAAAAAAAAAAATATTAAAAAATTTACATTATTATTAAAAAAATTTAAAATAATTTTAATCAAATTTATCCCTTAGGCCTCAAAACATATCAAGCCACCCCTGAATTTATGCTATCCTGGGGATTGGGTATTACGCTGAGGACGCTTCTTTTGTTTGATTAAAGTCAAGTCTCAATCTGAAATAATAATTATTAAACTAAAGAAAGTATTCAACCAAGTCAAAGCAAAGCTCAATCCTCCCTGAGCACTGCCCTTGATTTTAGGGTGTTGAATTTTTGCCGGTGGCAAAAATATGCTGAAGATGTGTCAGATTGTGTTGTTTGACCTAGTCAATGGAATACATACTTTTTAAATAATGCGATGGATCTAGTCAATGGAATACTTGGTCAATATGAACTTTATGTACAATGTCCATAGCTATTTTACTTAAAAATTGTGGCCTCTGTTCTCTAGATGTCTCGAGCGAACAAATCCTAACGGTTCGTTTGTTTAGTGGAAGAATAGTAGAAAATACAAGAGAAATTTTTTAAAATTTTAATGTATTTGGTAAGCATGAAAAGAAAAATAAAAGAAAAAATAATTTTCTTTCATGCTTGAATTTTCTCACAAATAACTAATTTTTTTTTTTTTTGTAAAAAACACCAGAAAATGCAAAAAAAAATGTGATATATAGTTAACTTCCTATTTTACACTTATTTTGTTTAAAATATTTTATTAATTATTAATTTAAAAAAATTTTGGTATGAATTTTATTAATCATATAATATTTGACCCAAAAATCTTTGTGTCGGAGGTTGTCTTAAAATTAAGTTTCGAGTCACTTTTTAAAAAAAAAAAATTAATATTCAATTGTAATTACATTTTTTTTTCTTTTTAGACCAATTTAATATAATTAAGGATAATTTAGACAATTATAAAAAATTTCTTGTAACGTTATTTCAAATAATAAAATATTTTTAAAAAAAAAAATTCTTGTAAATTTTTCATTCTAACTAAATACATGCATAAAAATATATTTTTTATCATTTTTTTTTCTTTCACTTCACTTGTTATCATTTTTACTTTCCATCATTTTTTTGTTCGTAACCAAACAGATACTAAAGAATAATGAATTATCTACTTGAACCCGCACGTCATAGAAAACATATCAGTTCATTGTATCCTGACAAAATGCTATATAGATCGGTGCAAGCCATTTGGATCTGTTTAGGCGTTGCTGATTATGAAGAGGAAATCATTCATTACACCCACTTCTGCTCTGCTCTTGGTGCTATAATGATGAGAAAAAGACAGCTGAAGCAAGAAAGAATGGAGGTTCACATACAGCTTTAGATGAATGAATGGCTTTGGCATTTGGAGCACCTTGTCAGTTACCATGCAAACACGCAAGCGAGAAAAAGTCATTAGAGAACTTGGATTAGAAGCTTATATATTCGTGTGAAATCACACAACGCATAGGAAGGTGCATGAAATACTTAAGAAAAAGATCCATATCGACATAGTTTATACCAGTGCTGTGCTGACTTACAGAACCCATTTACTGTGTATCCATGCATTTTTCTTTTTGTTACTATGTATCCATGCATTTTTCTTTGTCAACTGTATATGCAGTTATGGACATATATTGATTCTATTTATAATGCAGCATGAAATCCTTCATATGCATTTTTATCTGCTGGTTGGCACCATGTGTTGGACCAAAACAGGTTTTAAATGTAAAAACTGAATTTTTTGTCGAATTTGAACCTAAATTAAAGTGAGATCTGTTCGTTGTTTCGAGTAAATTTTCGTGGGTTCGCGTTCTACTGCATGAAGAGAATAATATAGTATATTCTCTTGCTCAAATCGAGTAAGGGATGAATGAGGAAATATATTCTAAAGTAATTCTTTTGGAATGTGAAAATAGAGGTTGTGCAATGTGAGATTTGACATCAATCTCACATTAGTTGAGGAAGAAGTTCTACATGAGTATATATAAACTTAGTTTGCTCTATGGGATTAGGCCTCAGGGGTACCACAATTTTATGAGCGGAGCGAGCGCCTACAGGCCTTCGGGTCAACCACACACGCGCACCGTCCAGTCGGGCTGGGCTCGTGTGTGATTTAGAGTAAACCTTATCTTTTTGGAAAAAAAATTTAGTTTCAGTACCCGTTGGATTTGAATTCGCATTGGTTCGGATTTTGTCTTCCTTCTAGTTCGAAATTTTGAGTAGGGTCTATTCATAGAGAACAGTTATATGTTGGTGTCTTCTGACTATATGTGTGTCTTCTGGGTTGTGTCTTTTTACATGGTACCTATCTGGAATAGCATCATTTTGTCTATATAAATTCAGGCTCATTACTATTATGTATCAATCATTTTTCCGGAGTTAAGACAGTCATTAGTACATTACATTTCGGCATTAAGACAATTTACATTTGGAGAGTATACAACATAATTTTCAGTTTGTTGGGTGAGTAGATTGGGGTGCTATTTCTATTTTTATTCGTTTTTAACCCAAAATGACTTAATTAAATTCCAGTTTTAGTTCAAATTAATTTTATTTGAAATTTTATTCAATTATAAGAAAATTTTATAATTTTTGTTTTTTGGGGACCTTTAAAAGTTCATTCGTCACCCAATCGTCTCGAAAAATGTGTAAAATCTGACTATCTCAGAATTTGACATAGCAACTCAATTTTGTGATACGAATCTAACGGTGAAGTTCGTTGCTTCATCCGAGCTTTATAGAATATGTATTTTAATCCCGCATAATAGTGGCAAATTACTATTCTGCCCTTTATCAAAAAAAGTTTAAATTTTTTCGGGCTTCACAGGCAGACCGTAGAATTCCATACATGTCTGTCACATTTCTTACAACACATTTACGATCCCTTCTTGCAACTACCTCTTATTTGTATAAAATACAAAACAAATTAACTTGTCTTAGTCACCAAAGTAATAATACTATGCACTAGTATCATCATTCTACATCTCTCAAACCAAATCAATTAAACCTTACATAACTATTCAGATTCAGCCTAATCCTTTGATAATTCATAAACCTATGCTCTGATACCACTCTTGTTACACTCTCACCCCAAATCACATAGGGTGGATGGTGGACTGGCCACCAAGGCCTTAACTAATCAACCTTGTGCATAATAAATGTAAAATACAGTGGAAAATAAATAATAAAGTAATTCAATTCATCGACCTAATAAACACCAGAATAATAAACTAAACATCACCAACATCATTATTAAACTCATGTAAAATAATAACTAAACCATAAGGTTCATTACTCTAAAGTCTAAACATGAGCAACATTACTTCCAAAATAATTAAATATTTGTCTCAAAATCATAAAAGAGTTATTCCTAAAGACCTACAATAAAATAAATATTCAATTCTTCTAATCTTTTCTCTATTCGGGGACTTACTCCTCCCCCTGATCCTCACCTGAAAAATATTAAATGTTTAGGTAAGCGCAAAGGCCCGTGAATAACAACCACCTCGAATGAGGTGTGAAAATAAATCTCATAGTTTATATACAAAAATAAACTTTCATACATACATAAGTACAACAAATTGTACCATAATCCTTCCCACATAATCATGTAAACAAAATAATCTCATTATCACAAATAACTTTATAAATGAAAAGACATTTATAACTCAAAATACTCACAAACACACACACAGTCTCAAATATATTTGTCAATTCATGTTTGTTACTATTAGCCTGATAATTGGCCCCGTCTCTTATCATCACTAGTTTGATGACTGACCCCGTCTCTTGTTATCACTAGCCTGATAACTGGCCCCTATGTGCACATCCCTATACCGACCACGCCGGTATACAATCTCGTTATTATTTATACCTGGTAACCCAGTCCCCTTCTCATAAAACATGATTTTAACATACACTAAAACTGTTGTTTTAGTCCCAATGCATATAAAATTTCATTTTCATCACCAAAACACATTTAAGTAATGATATAAAATCATCCCATAAGTTTTTTCAAATTCACATGTATAGCAATTCATAATTGCAAAATATTTAATTGTAACCCCAAATATCAACATATATCATATATATATAAAATTTGCACACACGCGCCCACAAGTTTAATATAGAAAATTCTCCCAAAAGAAGTAGTAAACTACTTACCTTGATTCCCAAAATCCAATTCAAAGTACTCTTTTCCAACCTCAATGCAATCACCACCTAATCCAAAATAACATATAACAATCAATTCATATTACTAGTTTCGTCATTTCGCAAATCTATATTTAATTTTTGTACTTCCTACCTATTAATATATACTTAATATATCTTTTACATATAAATATCCTTTCTAATATGATTTAATAGGGAATTGAAGTATTTTGGACTATTTAGAAAAACAATTCTAAAATTTGGGGTCCAATCATAAGTTTTGAAACTTTTGGAGCTAAAGTGTAATTTCCTTGAAAAATGAATTTTCTGTTATCGGGCTTGCCATAAATTTTTCAGAATTCTGTTCTTGAAACTTACCAAGTAAAAAGGTACTTAAAATTAAGTTTAGAAGAATAAAGGGGTCAAAATAAATTTTTTTGAAACTAAAGGGGAGCTTTCTATAATATTTGGATTTGGTCTCCAGCAGCAGAACTCGGAACCATCCTTTCCCTTTTGTTTTCTTTTTTTTTTTGTAAGACATTAAACAAATTCTTTAAAGGCCTCAAAAACAATAAATCTATATTAGGTCTCAAATCACTTAAATTAACAACTTTCAATAAAACTTATTTATATATTCATCACTATTCTTCACCATGAACATATATATATATATATATACACCAATATTCCTTATCACTATCTATGATAACCTTAATACTATGTAATTGAATAACTTATAAACTTACCAATAATTAATGAATTCATATATTTAATGAGTCCACTCCTTTTTTTCCTTTTGTTCTTCTTTCTTCCTTCTCTCTGTCTCTCTTTCACGTTATCTTTTTCTTCTTTGTTCACAGGACAGGCTCTTCCACAAGCCTTCTCACCAATAAAAACCCTACAAATCTAAATATATTTATATATATACAATGGATTTGACCTATCCAACAATACTACCCTATTTAAACCACATGTATAATAATCCTAATAGGTCTCTATAATTATATTAAATTATCTCCATTGATTTTCAAAGCATATCTATATGCTCATAAGGATAGACCCCAAGCAAAACAAAAAGTCTAAAATTTCTCAAATTTAACTTATTCACTTTTATTTTTATTATTATTATTGTTATTTTATTTTTTATTTTTATTTTTACCCTCGGTATTACAGTTACCACTAGTGAGTCGTCATGGGGTGCTGGATTTCCTTGAGGTCATCATCAAACTGCTTGTGAATGATAGTACAAAGGGGAGACTGGCTCTTTATATAGTGATCCTTCCAGTCCCTAAAGCATTTTGTTAAATAGTATGGGGAGCTTCCAACCTTTTAGCGACTCTCTTAGTTTAAACTGAAAATCTATCATTTTTCTGTTTAACAACTGGACAACGATGTTCCCTAACCTTTTGTGTGTAATCTTAGAAATAGTCAGCATGCAGCCATTGGATTGAAAAATGCACTGAACTTGTCAATGCAATGGTGGGTTTAGACTCTGTCAGAAATCGTGACGGCATTGATACTAAAATAAGTGAATCAAACCAACCATGCTCAACTGGTATGCACTGTTTGTTTTATAGCTACTAATAATGTATATTTTTTTTTTCATCTTGGTCATCAAATTGCTCTATTATATTGGGTAAATCATGCAACATGTAAGAGAGAAGGGAAAGATTACCATATCGATTTGAAACTAACTTTCAGGGTTTAATTACATTATTTTTTTGTAAAGCTACAATGTTGTAGAGTGAGTGATATGAATTCTAAAATTTTGAAATTGATCTTAAAACATTAGAATTGATCTTAATTACCTCAAAAAATTGCGACTTAAAGCTCTGAATTTTACCTAAAGTTATCATTTTTGTGGTATTACCTTAATTCGATAATAAATTAATTTTGACGGCTTCATATTATTTAAAATAAAACGAAAGTCTATTTTCCCTAACGAGCGACAAAAATGCCAACAAGACAAATGTCAACAATGTATATATCAAATGGTATCGTGATGTCCAACCAAAAAAAAAAATTTGGTATTGTGATGAGAAAAATAGTTTGTAGGTGTGAAAGATTCAAAAACATGCTCATACAGTAGTTTTATTTTGTGTTAGATTATCTCTTTTTTTATTTGTTTTTTTTTTCAACATAGAAGGAGCTCTAAGTCCTAGTTGTATTAATTAAAATAAATACAAAAAATTATGTTATCATTGTGATTAGGTGTAATGCTAAGGACATCTTTTTGTTTGAATAAAATCAAGTCTCAATCCGAAAATAATAATTAACGAAGTATTTAACCAAGTCAAAGTAAAGCTCAGTCTTCTCTAGGCACTGTCCTTGATTTTAAGGGTTGAAGTTTTGTTGGCGGCCTACGAGAAACCCATCCAACATATTTATTTAATATTATAGTTAAAAAATTTAAAATTTTAATTTATAAAAACACAACAATGATTAAGATTAATCCAATCTTTATCTACTTTGATTTAATGGTATAAATTTATCCCTAATTTTTTTTTGCTCAAAAATATCATCTTTTTTACACGACTTCCAATGTCAAACATCTCAATCAACCATCAACACACTCCAATGTCAAATAATTCCATTAATCCATACTTACCTTTCTTTTCTTTTTCTTGATCTACCTCTTTTATTTTTCTCTCTTCACTTGTAAGTTACGTAATTAAAGAGGTAGATCAAGAAAGTAATTCCATTGTAAGTTACGTAATTAAAGAACAAAGTATAATTTAACATATAAATATTATAAGATCAATATTCAATTTTTTGTATTATAGAGTGTCTTTAAACATGGAATTATTGTTACCCTATCTATAAGTAACATCTTTTATTTCTCATTTCTTGTTACCAAAAACCCATCAAGTTTTGAAGACATCATCAGACTGATGCAGCTTATTCTCAAATCACTCCCCTCAATTTAATTATTTATTTCCATTAATCTAATTAATTTTTCATCCAATTTCAATTTTCATATCCCAGTTTATGATTTTTCTTTTATATTTTATAGAAGTAGGTATTTCATATATCAAAATACAGAAGCATAATTATTTCTTGTTTAAGACCCATCAGGGCTGATTGAACCCCATTTGTAATTGCCCGGCCATCCCTCTAGGATTTAACCCCATTAAATGCATGTTAAATGGGGAGATTGTACGTTGGGAGGATGTGTGTGCACACGAGAGAGAGAGAGAACCTAACAACCAGAAATCTCTTACCACTTACCACGATACCTAAATGCTCATCTTCTACAAATTGAACTAATACTAGATTTTTGTCAGAAAGAAAATATACCAGTTCATTGTGTCATGACAAAATACCATACAGATATTTAGTTTTCAGGTACTTTGCTACTTAAATAGTATACATTTCATTATTTGTTACAACAGAAAACTGCATTTAAATTTACAGAAAAATATACAAGGTCATCGGATCATGCCCACCAAAAAATCGTATCAGACACTCAGTTTTGGGTGGAAATCAGAGTCAACAAATGGTTTGGTAAATTCATCGGTACAAGCCATCCGGATCCGTTCAGGCGTTGCTGGGTTATCAAGAGGAAACCATTCATTACACCCCACTTCTGCTCTTGCTGCTATAATGGCATCTTTGATGGCAAAAAAGACAGCTGAAGCAAGAAAGAATGGAGGTTCACCTACAGCTTTAGATGAATGAATGGCTTTGGCATTGGGAGCACCCTGTTATTTACCATGCAAACGAGCAAGCAAGAAAAAGTCATTAAAGAACTTGTATTAGAGGCGAATAATCTGTTTTAAGTCATTGAAGAACTTGGATTAGAAGCTTATTCGTGTAAAATCACAGGCGCATAGGAAGGTGCACGAAATACTTATGAAAAAGATCCATATCAGGACATAATTTATAGCAGTGCTGACTTACAGAACCCAGTTACATACTGTGTATCCATCCATTTTTCTTTTTTTAACTGTATATGCACATATATTAATTCTAATTAAAATCCAGAATTACACCATCTGCTGGTTGGCACCATGCAATGATTCTGCTGGTTGCTTCTCTTCGGTGATGCTGGCATGCATGCTTTTACTCACCCTCTAGAGTTTTTAGAGTGTTGATATAGCACAAATTTATTGGTCAATAGTCCACAGCACAGGACAGCATGTTGGAGGAACCATTTGAGTTTCACCAGGAGCCACGACTATTGTGAGTCCATTCACAAAACATAGTCAGATCCTTGTCTACCACATTTTTTCATTAGTTAGCCAATTTTTTCCCTTTTTCCCTTTTCTTTCCGGGTTTTTTGTTTTTGTGTGTCTGTCACACCTTTCAGAAATTTTATCAAAAGGAAAAGAATGCACCAAATTTAAGCATTCTGTCCACCAAAATATCCTATAATATCTTCCTGACTTTTGATGTGATAAATTGAGCACTGGAAAAAATACAGAGATATATCACAGGTTTAATTTCGAACAACGAGATTAAAGTATGGTCAGGGGTGGCCCAACATGAATGGAGACCCTAGGCAAAAATCTTAAATGGGGCCTAATTAATATTGAGTGTAGGAATATAGCCAAATAATAATTAAAATACTGAAATATTTTTATTGAAAATTATTTTTTTTTTTCCATTTTCTAGAAGCAATAATACTAATTTAGTTTTCATCAATAAAAGTATAAGACATCGTTAACAGAATCAAATTTGAACAAATTTAAGTAGAAAATTTCATGTTGCATCGTCTTTAAAAAATAAAATGTGGTTAAACGTTATGGGAAGACACTCATATTTAAGCAAGAAAATTGAAGAGAGTGACAATAGTTATAGTTAGTTTGGATAACGAAGTAGTATTTCACTCTATATTTTAGTCTATTCATATGTTACAAAAAAAAAAAAAAATCAACCGAAAGATCTTTCCCATATTGAAAAAAGACATCGAATTGAACCTAAAAGAAAATAATTTATAGTTCATAACAGTTGGGTGACAAACATCTAATTATACAGTCGATTTCACAAATGGATATCAAAAGTTCTCCTAAAAAAGCATAAGCAACTAACTATTTAACCTAAGAAAACTTGTATGAATTGCGGATAAAGAGTAGAAGAGCAACTGGTAGGATTAATATAAAAACTGCAAGGAATCCATAAGGTCTTCGAATGGTGCTTCAAAGAGAGAAATTAGAGAAACAGGGCTTACATGTGAGAGGATGAGAGAACATCCCTACATATTCCTTTTTATTATGTCTATTAATTAGGAGAAAGAATATATTTTTAGACTAAATAAAAAATCGGATAAGAGCAAAAACAAAAATTAGACCAAACTTGGCGGTCGAAACATTTTATTTAGAGACCCTAAAAACATTTCCTATTTTGGGGGCCCTAGGCCAAGGCAGGCCAACTATGAGTATTGTTAACAAAATTATGATCTATTGAGCATCAACTTTAATGAACTGGTTTTTGTCACGAAGGGTAAGAATTTTTCTTATTAAAAATTATACGGAACTCATAAACGTTGTGTCCAAGACCTGGATCAAAATTTCATTTCTTTTCCACCAAAACGACCGAAATATTTCTGTTTCCATGGAAGCTGAAACAAAACACTAATTACATATTCAAATTCTAATGTTTCGAGATACTTTAGAATGTTT